CCTTTTTTTTTTTTTTACAACAAGTATGATGGAGACTTAATCTCGTGACCTCTTGGTAAAAAATAAGTATGTGCCAATTACTACCGAGTTAAGTTTATGTTGACATTCTGGTGACTATCTTTCTCCCTTTAGTTTATTTTTTTAAAAAAATGTTACGACTTTTTATTTATGTTTAACTATATTATAATTTTAACTTTTGTTGATACATTTTACATATGACTTTGACTTTGCCTAATCTAGCATAGCTCAAATGGTTAAGGCACCTATCTCTGACCAAAAGATCATGAGTTCAAACCTCATCCCCACATGTTGTACTAAAAAAATATATGACTTTGACTTTAATTTGAAATATGATATTTGACATACATATGCTACCTCCAATTAAATATTAAAAAAAACTGCTCTTTTTTAGTACAAGAACCTATATGGAAATTCGAATTCACAAATTATTAGTAAAGATATATTTTTAATTAGTTTACAAGTATGTTTGATTTTAAGACTTATATAATGAGTATATAAATATATAAAAGTCAAACATCTAATACAAAATAATAATAACAAAAAAGAAAAAACCAATCTCTCTCTATAAATTTTGTATTTATTTTTTCAATGTTCGAATTGATAATTTGTTTGGATCATGTAGATATTTGATTGCAGCTAAAATTGGATATCATCGTATGTTTCTTTGGATCGTCATAACGTACTTTCACATTTTACACTCAAGTGAAGTTTCTTTTCAAACTCAAATGAGCCAAACCTGAAGAAGTTGATTCGATCTAGGGACCAATGCCCATGGACAAACCAATTGGGAGCCAACCCACCCACGGGCCAGTCTAGTCTACCTTCGACCATGATCAAAGCTGACTAGGTCGAAGTTTGAACGTCATGCCTTAGCAAATGAGTTACATTTTTTAGATTTTTTTAATGTGAAATGAGATTCGAACTCTCAATATCTACCTTAACTCGTCTTCGCATAATTATTTTTTAGATTGATACAAATTCGACAATTCACCAAAATTCAAGCATCTAACATAAATGATTAGCTTCCCTCAAGCTTTAAAAATTTTGGAAGCGGGGAAAATAATTGCTTAGGGCTATTTTAAGCTAATTTTGTGTAACTAAAAGAAAATTCAACCATTTTAGCTGATAATTTTCAATATGTGACGGCTACTGGGTGAACGCTGCTGCTTATTTCCCCCCTTCAATTTTTATATTCTGCCTGTGAATTTTATTTTCTATCGTAGCATTTCCATTCAAGCTTCAACCGTTGATTCCGAGTTAAGAGATTCTTTTTGAGAAATTTTCTGATCAATTAAGTCTAGGTTTTCAATTCTTGGCACGCTTTGAAATTCGAATAGTCGCAGACCAATGTTTTAGGGATTTCGGGAATCGGGTTACGATTTGTGAGTGGCTTTGATCTATTTATGAAATTTGGTTGAATCCAGACATGTATAGCAATTTCAAGGAGCAAGCTATAGAGTTCGTGAAGCAGGCGGTGCAGGAAGATAATGCTGGCAATTATGCCAAGGCCTTCCCGTTGTATATGAACGCCTTGGAGTACTTCAAAACTCATTTGAAGTATGAGAAGAATCCGAAGATCAAGGAAGCCATTACCCAGAAATTCACCGAGTATTTGCGCCGTGCTGAGGAGATACGTGCTGTGCTCGATGATGGCGGTCCTGGACCGGCTTCCAATGGAGATGCAGCTGTTGCGACTAGGCCGAAGACGAAACCTAAGGATGGAGAAGGAGGAGATGGAGAGGATCCAGAACAGGCTAAGCTGCGGGCCGGTCTTAATTCCGCGATCATAAGGGAGAAGCCGAACGTCCAGTGGAACGACGTCGCTGGATTGGAGAGCGCCAAGCAGGCATTGCAAGAGGCGGTAATCCTACCCGTGAAGTTCCCGCAGTTCTTTACTGGTTAGTCCGATCTTACTTCTATTGATCTCTGTTCTTTGATTGTAATGGTCTCGATCACTTCTGTAAAATTGTGCTGCTTCTTTGAGGAGGGATGTAATTCTTTTCGCGTTCTGGTTTTATTTGAGGTGTGATTATTGCAATTAATGTTGAATTACTTCAACGGCAAAAAATTATTCGTTGTCCTGGCTGTGTGGCTACCTTGGAATGGAGAGGAAATCCCTGCGCATGGAATTCTAGTTTAAGAATAATGGCGACTCTTATACCAGCCAAACGCGACCTCTGTAATTACACAATTTTATATGGAATGAACTTGCCTTGAAATCTTTTTCTCAATATTTTTTTTTGTATTTTTTGAATTTTTTTCCATTTTAAATATAATATCTACCACTCATAAATAATCATCTAGCTTTATTTAGGCAAGAGGCGACCATGGAGAGCTTTCTTGTTATATGGGCCTCCTGGAACGGGAAAATCATACTTGGCAAAGGCTGTTGCAACAGAAGCCGACTCAACATTCTTCAGGTAATGGTTTTATGAGCATATGAACTGGCAGCCTGTGATTTGTTTTGTCAATTGTAATGACAAATGTCTTCACTGTCTAGCCGTTATATTTGAATGTAACTGTGTGAGCAACCGACCACTCCATAATTTTCATGGAGCTTTTGTCATGCCATCAATAAATGTCATGAACTTGTACTTCTTAAATCTTATGAAAAACATGCAGGTGATATGATCAAAATCCTTTTGAAGTGGTATTTCTTATTAAACATCTTTCATGCATTAGAGTAGGGGACCCAAGGGCTAAGGAGTTGATAACAGATTAAGTCGTGGACATTCTCTGTTTCTAAATGTCTTATGCTAGTGTATCTCAAGAATTTATGCTGGAAATTGGATGGCCTGTTGCTCAAATTCTTTGTGGATAGTTTTCTGGTTCTTCATCATACTCTGTTTGCTCAGCAGGAAACTTTAACTGGAAAATATTACTGGAGGTAAAGGTAAGCAATGGAAAAAGTAGAAGATTAATCTACTAGGTTGTTTGGAGGAAAAGTAGCATCTTAATGYGCAATCTTATTGAATTTTGGACAACATATATGTCAAATTTTAAGTGGTAGAATCTACTTTTTTTCTGCTCTTGCCAACCAAGGAGAATAGCTGCTTTAATTTTTTTTCTTCTATAATTTCTTTGAAAAAGCCTATTTTTGCATTTTATGGGTCTGACCTATGAAACATCGGACATGGCAGTAGGAATTTTATGGACTGAAATCATGTTCTTCAGTTGGACTAGGAACTAGTTTTGGTTGTTCACTTTGACAAATAGCAGGCTTCAGGAATAAAATAAGTGATTTAAAATAATGTTGAAATTCTTTTCAAGAGGATTTGGTGGCCATGACTGTGTGAACTCATTGAACAGCTTCAAGTAATAGGATTTTTCAGTATGATGTTGATAGTTTTCATTTATCTCATTCTTTGGGTGTAATATACAAGTTTTTTTCTCATGTAACTGATGTTGGTTCTCCATTTAGTCCGATAATAACCATCTATTTCTTTATTTTCAGCCKATTCTTATTGTAGTGCATGCACACCCCASGTTCCATTGGTCCATTGGATATCTTTGCCTGTTTCTAAGACATGTTTTTTTAATCACTTAACTTGTTGGCTATTTGCTGGTTCTTTTACCTCTTGCTTTAAATTGAAGTACTTTTTTGTGCTGGTAGCATTTCTTCTTCGGACCTTGTCTCAAAATGGATGGGTGAAAGTGAAAAGCTAGTTTCAAATCTTTTTCAAATGGCTCGTGATAGTGCTCCATCCATCATCTTTATTGATGAAATAGATTCCTTGTGTGGTCAGCGAGGTGAAGGTAATGAAAGTGAAGCTTCTAGACGCATCAAGACAGAACTTCTTGTGCAGATGCAGGTATTGTTTGTGGAGTAACAGTATTTGTGAAGAGGGAGGGGGGTTGAGGGGGAATCAATCATCATCTAATGCTTCATTTTCCTTTTCCATTGTCTTGACAATGCTTGTTTATGAACATTGTCTCTTTACTTGCAGCTGAGCTACTTTAAGTGTTTTTTAGCCAGTTGAAAATAGTTTTTGTCTAAATCTAGCGAGTTATGTTATAGTTAAAAGTCCAATGACTTGTTTATGTGATCTGTCCATGCACATGGGTTTCACTTCTTAGATGGTAGAATATTGATCTGATGTTTCCCTGGGTGTTTCCATATCTCGTCAATACCCAAAGATTTTCTAACCTCCCCATCCCTACTGGGTTTGCAACGCAGTTCACATTTTAAAATTTGGTAGTTGGGTAAAGAGAGGGACCTAGATGAGCAACCCCGAGGCTAGAGGGTTTGAAAACGTTAGCATGGTTCCTATCATTATGAAACGTGTCCATCCCCTTAGTGTATGTTCCATAAAGTTTATGCATGATATATGTTTATTCTTTTTACTACTTGCATACGATCTTCTCTATATTGAAGGAGTTTTTATGTGAGCTTCTATTTTTTAAGAAATTTTTTAGATTTAATGTTAGTCTAACTTCTCATTAGAATGAAGTAATCTGCTTAATGTAACACTAACCAAGCAATAGTTTATTGTGTATATGTTTCATTGCTGTGGAGAAGATTACTTTATGAATGACATATGAATTAAATTGGTTGATGCCTTTATGTTTTGATAAAATGTAATACCATCCTTTTTACTTTCAAGAGTGAAAAAGGGGATGGAAACAATTTGGACACTTGAAGGTCTTAATTTTTTCAGTTCCATTTATGTTTTTCTTCTCTCTTAGAAAATTGGTAAAAGAATGCATGCTTGTTTGGAAAATTAATTTCTAAATAGTTTTCCATTCTTTCCTCAATTTGATCTTTGTTCTAACAGACAGAGAATTGTTTGAGTAGTTCCCAAACAAGCTCAAAGACCATTTTATCTCTGTGCCATTTTTGTTATCAATGTTATTTCCAAACTGAAGGATATCTCTCGCATTAATAGGGTGTAGGTCACAACGATCAAAAAGTTCTTGTTCTTGCTGCAACCAATACTCCCTACGCTTTGGATCAGGTGAAGAGAAATTTTTCTATTTCAATATCATGTTAAGGATTATCAAAATGAAGTGCATGTTTAACTGATAAGTAGTGCTTATAGGCCATTCGTCGGCGATTCGATAAGCGGATATACATCCCTCTTCCTGATTTGAAAGCCAGGCAGCACATGTTCAAAGTACTTGGAATTATATTTTATTTTATTCTACAAAAAGCAAGATTTAATTTTGTGAGGAATAATCTCTGATAATATGCCTGGATGTATTTAAATAGGTGCATCTGGGGGATACTCCACATAATTTGACAGAAGCAGATTTTGAAAACTTAGCACGCAGGACGGATGGGTTCTCGGGATCGGATATTTCAGTTTGTGTAAGTGTATAATATTTGATTGGATGAATTGAAATCTTGTTATTGGTGCCCTTGACTCTGAATCAGGTATTAGTCGAAAAGTAGTTCATTGGAACCCTTGAATGCGCAGGTGAAGGACGTGCTCTTTGAACCTGTTCGTAAAACTCAAGATGCCATGTTCTTCATTAAGAATCCTGATGGCATGTGGGTGCCCTGTGGACCAAAGCAACCAGGCGCTGTCCAAATTACGATGCAAGAGCTAGCAGCAAAAGGACTCGCCTCACAGGTAAATGTTTGAATTTATAATTTCATAGCTGATAATGTGCAGCAGCAGAAGACTCGCGCCTCTTTTATATGATATGGAACAGAGAAAAGTTTGCTAAAAATTTGCTGGTTTGGGTGCAGATTCTTCCTCCCCCAATAACAAGAACAGATTTTGACAAGGTGGTAGCTAGACAAAGGCCTACAGTGAGTAAAGCTGATCTCGAGGTTCATGAAAGGTTTACAAAAGAGTTTGGGGAGGAAGGTTGAGGAGTTTGTGAATACCAATTTATCACTTCTCCCACCAGTGTTGTATTTCATTTGCCATTCCCATAATCTGACAAATCTATATATCTTTCATTTTTCTATTCAATGGGAAAGCAGACATGACATTTTGTATTGTTCTGGAAATATTTAAGTCTGACCTTTCTCAACTCACCAATTTGTGTATAGTTACAAACATTTGAAATAATTAATGGTGTTTGCCCATGTTAGTTTCTGCTTGTGGAGTTCTTGAGAATCTGGCACATAAAATGGGTCTGGAAATACTCTACTATTCATTATCATGTATTTGCCATATTTGTTTGTATTCTTAAAATTAGTTATGAGGCCACCACGTTACTTCATCTAAAATTTATGTCAATCGGAGCTAATGCCATATAATCATATAATCATAATTTGAATATAATTAAAAGAAACTTAAGTTTACATAGTTGCCGGATTAAGTTTACATAGTTGCCAGATACATTATATAATGGTGGTCAAAACGAGTGTAGTTAAGTGGTAACAAAAAAGAAAAAATACCACCGTGGTTAGAAAGTAAACAAAAATAAAATCACCGCCAGAAAAAATCGARACTACAAAAGCTAGAAAAAAAAATGGGAAGATTTTCGGAATAACTTTGSTACTAAAAACATACAAGTATAATTAAATTTAAAATATATTTTAATGCTGAAAATTAATATTGTGAATTGACAGAGATAATTTTCTTACAATTAAACCAATTTTTTTTATTTAAGAGGTAGAGCAGTAGAACTTGTAATCCACAAATGAATCATTAATCTTTTCCACTGGTAGATTGCGAGATGGTTAATTTGGATGCCTTCAATTCAACAATCTTTCTAATAATTAAAAGAAAATGCACATATATAAATATATAATGAGAAAAAAAAAAGAAAAAAGAAAATCAACCATTTGTACTTTTCAACACGCGACGGCTATCTGCAGAAGCGAGCTTCCCACTGGCATAAWTTTTTTTCCTTTCTATCGTATCCTTTCAATTGTTCGAGCCTCAGCCTCCGATCTCGAGCCAAAGGATTTTCTGATAAATTCTATGCTTCCTGGGAAATCAACACTTAACATCTAGGTTTCTAATTGTTTATTTGCTTTGAGATTCGGAGAGTCAAACATCGATGTTCTAGGGTTTTCGTTTTCCCCGGCGGTACAATTTGTGATCGCGATGTTCTAATCTATCTATGAAACTTGGTTGAAGTTATTCCAGAGATGTATAGCAATTTCAAGGAGCAAGCTATAGAGTACGTGAAGCAGGCGGTGCAGGAAGATAATGCTGGCAATTACGCCAAGGCCTTCCCCTTGTACATGAACGCCTTGGAGTACTTCAAAACTCATTTGAAGTATGAGAAGAATCCCAAGATCAAGGAAGCCATTACCCAGAAATTCACCGAGTATTTGCGCCGTGCCGAGGAGATACGTGCTGTGCTCGATGATGGCGGTCCTGGACCGGCTTCCAATGGGGATGCGGCGGTTGCGACTAGGCCCAAGACGAAGCCTAAGGATGGAGAGGGAGGAGATGGAGAAGATCCAGAACAAGCTAAGCTACGGGCTGGCCTTCATTCCGCGATCATAAGAGAGAAGCCGGACGTCAAGTGGAACGATGTCGCTGGATTGGAGAGCGCCAAGCAGGCTTTGCAAGAGGCGGTAATATTGCCCGTGAAGTTCCCGCAGTTCTTTACTGGTTGGTTCGGTTCTACTTCTTTTGATCTACCAGTATATTGATCTTATTCTTTGTTTGCCATGGTCTTGCTCATGTCAGTAAAGTTGCGCTGCTTCTTTCAGCTTGGGATTTTTTTTTTAGTTTGATTTGACGTGCAGTAGTTACAAGTATTGTTGAATTACTCCAATGGTAAGAAATGCTTGGTTGTCCTGGCTGTGTGGCTCCCTTTGTCTTGGAATTGAGAGGAGATCCCTGAGCATGGAATTCTAATTTAAGGATGAGGATGAATCTTATCCGAATAAAATTGATTAGTTCCTTCCTATCACTGTAATCGTGCAAATTGACATAAAATAACCTTGCGTAATCATTTTTGTTGTTCGTCATAGATAATCATCTAACTTTATTCAGGCAAGAGACGACCATGGAGAGCTTTCTTGTTATATGGACCTCCTGGAACTGGAAAGTCGTACTTGGCAAAGGCTGTTGCAACAGAAGCCGACTCAACATTTTTCAGGTTATCATTTTATGGACCTATGGACTTGCAGCCTGTGATTTGTTATGTCCTGATCAGTGTCTTCACTGCCCTAGCCGTTTTATTTTAATATGACTGTGAACAACCAGCGACCTTCTCATTCTCATGCAGCTTTTATATGCTACCGATGCCTCCAATAAATGTTATGAACCTTGTGCTGCTTTTTAAATCTTAATGAAAAACATGCAGCCAATGTGATTAATATCATTTAAAAGTAGTATGTCTTATTAAATATCTCTCATGCATTAGGGTAGGCGACCTAAGGGTTAGTAACAGATTAAGATGCGGAATTTTTCTTTTTCTAAATGCTTTATGCAAATGTATCTCAATAATTTATGATTGAAGATTGGATGGCCTGTTGGTCAATTTGTGGGAGGTTTTCTGGCTCTTCATCATACTCTGTTTGATCGGCAGGAAACTTTAACAGGAAAATATGACTGAAGGTGAAGGTAAAGTTTATTCTAGAAGGTTGTTTGGAGGGGGAGTAGCATTTTAGTGCACCATATTATTGAATGTAGGACAACGTCTGTGCAGTTGAATTTTTTCATTGCAACTTTTTTCTAATGATTATTTTTGCATTTTCTTATCATAGCCTGTGAGACATGGCAATAGGAAATTTCTGGATTGAAATCACGATCTTCCATTATGTCATTGCATCAAGAACTTGTTATTGGTTTTGGTTCCTGACTTTGGCAAACATCAGGAATAAAATAAGTTAACTTTGTCCCTCTTTTATTTTTTAAAAATTAAATTGCAATTGAATTCTGTGGCTATTGACCGTGAACTCGTTGGTTGAACAGCTTCGAATAAGGGAAATTTTGGGTAGGATGTTGGTAGTTATCATTTTCTCATACTTCGTACCCTGTATGAATTTGTTCTCATGTAACTGATGTTAGATCCCATTTACTCCGGTGATAACCATCTTTTTCTTTCTTTCTTTTTTCCTTTTATTTGTTTGTGGGAAAACCAACTTTCGTTAAGACTATAAGAAAGAGGCCCTCACTAAAATGTCTTAACTGAGTGGGGAATATAAAAACAACTTACTAAAAAGATCCCTACTCTTGATAATAAAAATAAAGGACAATTACAAAAAAACTTTTTGGTAGACATCTACTTTCTTTGCTGTCATTCCATTCTATTCATTGCAGTGCATGCACACTCCATGACTTATTTTCTTTGTCTTTTGCAGTTATTTCAACACGTTTTATTAAACACCAATCTCAGCTACTTGCTGATGTTTTACCTCTTGCACTAAATTGAAATATTCTTATTTTCTGCTGATAGCATTTCTTCTTCGGACCTTGTCTCAAAATGGATGGGTGAAAGTGAAAAGCTAGTTTCAAATCTTTTCCAAATGGCTCGTGATAGTGCTCCATCCATCATCTTTATTGATGAAATAGATTCTTTGTGTGGTCAACGAGGTGAAGGTAATGAGAGTGAAGCTTCTAGACGCATCAAGACAGAACTTCTTGTGCAGATGCAGGTACTGTTTGTAGAGTAACAACATGAGTATTATGTGTAGTAAAGGATGGGGATTGGTTAATCTTATGCTTGCATTGTCTTTTCCAATTTTTTGACTCTTGACAATGCCTATTTGCCAAAAATGTCTCTCTACTTGCTGTTGACTTCAAGTATTTTCTAGTCAGTTTAAAGTGGACTTTGATTATATACAATCTAGAGAGGCTATGTAATAGTTAGAAGTCCAGTTACTTGTTTCTTTGATTCTGCCCATCCACCTGGAGTTTCTGCTGCTTCTTAGGTTAGATATCAGGTTGTTTCTTGATTTGTTTCCTATCTTGTCAAGACATAAAACTTCTCTAACTTTCCCATGTCTACTGGGTTTCAACCTAGTTCACATAGGGACCTAGATGAGCAACTCTGAGGCTGAGGGGTTTCAACACTAGCATGCATCTAATCATTTTGCAATGTGCCCAACCCTTGAATGTATGTTCCGGGAGTTTTATGTATGCTATTTGATTGTTATGTTTTCTGTTTGCACACAATCTCTGTGTTGAGCGAGTTCTCAGGTGAACCTTTATGTGTAATGAAAATTTCTCAATTTGATGTTAGTCTTATCTCTAATTGCAATCAAGTAATTTACCTAATGTACCACTGAATAAGCAATAGTTTATTAAGTCTATGTTATTTTACTTTGGAGAAGACTACTTTATAAAACATACTATCAACCCTTGCAATATGGGAAAGGGGATGTAAAGTTTGGGAACTTGGAGGGCTTAATTTTTTAGTTTTATTTTATGTTTTTCCCTCTTAGAGAATTAGTTAATAATAAGAATTTGTTTGGAAAACTGTTTTCAAACCAATTTTTTCTTCTTTTTCTTGTGTGTGTGTGTGTGTGTGTGTTTTTTTTTTTTTTTTTTCAAATTGGTTTTAAGAACTGTGGTGTGATGATCAGTAGAAATGAATGTTAAGATGTATTGAAATCAGAACATTTATTTAAAAGAAAACAGGTAAGTTGTGGCCGCCCATTGGAACACTCAAAAAGAAGAAAAACAACAAAACTTTTAGAAAGCAGTATCCGATCATGTTTTTTTTGGTTTTTGTTCTTTAAAAACTGGAATATTTATTAGAAATATTTCCCAAATAAGCTCTAAGGCTATTTTCTCACTTTACCTCATTTGTTATTAATGTTCTTTTAAAACTGATACATATATATCTTGCATGAATAGGGTGTTGGAAACAATGATCAAAAAGTTCTTGTTCTTGCTGCAACAAATACTCCATATGCTTTGGATCAGGTGAAAGAGAGATTCGTCCATTTTCAAATCATGTCAAGGTTTATGGAAATGTAATGCATGTTTGACTGATTAGTAGTGTTTACAGGCCATTCGTCGGCGATTTGACAAGCGGATATACATCCCTCTTCCTGATTTGAAAGCCAGGCAGCACATGTTCAAAGTTCTGGAATTATATTTTATATTCTTATACAAAAAGCAAGTTCTATTTTTATGAGGTTGCTAATATGCCCGGATGTATTTAATTAGGTGCATCTGGGGGATACTCCGCACAATTTGACAGAAGTAGATTTTGAAAGCTTAGCACGCAGGACCGATGGTTTCTCGGGTTCAGATATTTCAGTTTGTGTAAGTGTACATTGTTAATTGGATGAAGTGAAATCTTGTTTTTGGTGCCTTGAATCGTAATCAGGGATTAGTCGAAAAGTAATTTCATGGACCCCTTGAATTCACAGGTGAAGGATGTGCTCTTTGAACCTGTTCGTAAAACTCAAGATGCTATGTTCTTCATTAAGACTCCTGATGGTATGTGGGTGCCATGTGGACCAAAGCAACCAGGTGCTGTCCAAATTACCATGCAAGAGCTGGCAGCTCAAGGACTCGCCTCAAAGGTACATTGGATCTTAACTATCCGAGATAAATGTTTGAATTTATAATTTGATATTTGATGTGCGGCACAGGTTCTTCTTCTAGCTGCTTATTGCCAGTTACTATTATATTCTAATATTCTATGCATTGTTTAAAAATAAAACCTTACAAATATGTGCATTCCTTGCGAAGAAGATTCATTCGTCAATCATGGGATAATTTATAATATTTTGACTCAAGCCTCTGATTGATAGATGGAGATTTTCTAGGCCTCTTATTCTACTATTCTGTCTCTTACGATACGATGAAGAAAGAAACTCCGCTCCACCTCTTTTGCTGTAATTTATCTGACTAAACATTTGCTTGTTCCGGTGCAGATCCTTCCTCCCCCAATATCAAGAACAGATTTCGACAAGGTCCTAGCCAGACAGAGGCCTACAGTAAGTAAATCTGATCTGGAGATTCATGAAAGGTTTACAAAGGAGTTTGGGGAGGAAGGTTGAGGAGTAGTTTGTCATGAATCGCACCGAGTCAATCATCATTATCGGGTACAACCCTCGAGAGTTGTATTTTATTTGTCATTCGAGCTCCGACGAATTTATATATTTTTCAATTGTCCATTAAAGGGGAAGCAAATATGACATTTGTATTGAGCAGGACCTTTCTCTAATTTGATCCCACCAATTTGTGTATAGTTACAAAAATTTGAAATAACGAATGATGTTTGCTTATGATATATCTTCTGCTTGTATGGTTTCGCTCATCAAAATATCATTTTCTGTTATTCTGGAAAATTTATTGCAATTATGAATGGTAGATTCTCCAGATTGTGGATTTCTTGGCACATGATTTTGTTACCCAAAATGTTTCCATTTATTGATAGAGACGTTTGTTCTATGTATATGCATATGCATTCACAGTGCTTCTTAAATCCATGGCTTTATTGCGGATATCAGTTTTATTAATTTTCAGTGGTTGAAACAATATGGCCGGTGTTGGTAAAAACTGTTTTGTTTGACCATGCATCTGACAGTTGGAGAGGAAAATTATTCGCGCGCTAAGACAGGTAAATTAGATTGAATTCAACCGACTAAAATAGATATTGTGTACCTGTTTAATGGATTCCTTCCTCCATCTACTTTCATTCACATGTTTATTGAAGTCAAATAGTAATAAGTTTTGTCTGAAGAGGGAGCACTCTTTTCAACTTCTTTATATTCTTGATTTGCACTTGTGCTAAACTTCTTCGCAATAGAGAGGAACTTGGTTAAAACATTTAATTATAAATGTAGTTAATTTGGTGTACCAATTTTTCTGAAATTGTAGTTATTTACTCATTTGTAAGCTGGTTGAAATCGTAGCCATCAATGATTTCACGTGTTGAAAATTTAAAAAACTTCAAATTGTAGTGCAATTTGGATAAAATTGTTGGAGCAGAAATCAATTGTTTGGATAAAATTCAACCCGAAAAGGAAAAAGAAAAGTTTGGTAACTCTCGTCAGTGAACCGTCGTCGTTTCACACAGTTCCTGGCTTCAGTCGGCCACGTGATTTCTCCGGTCGCAATCCGTCCATTCCTTTCCCAAATCCAACGCAATTGCTCTTTTCCTAAACTACCCTCATCCCACAGTGATCTTCTCAAGCTATGTGGAGGCTATTACCGTCATTTACCATTCCCACTCCATACAGCTCACTTCTCTTTCCTTCCTTTAAGCCAACTTTACTCTCTCTGGCCTCTCTCTGTTTCACCTAC